AAATTCTGTACCATTTTTATTGCTTTATGTTGCTTTTGTTCTTGTCTTTGCTCTTGCTGTTTTTGTTTTGTGTTGTTCCTCTTTAAAAAAAAAAAAAAAAAATCCCTGAGTATAGCGTGATGAGAAAGGCAATGGAAAGTTTCAATGAACTGAGGAAGTGGACAGGGAAGTAGTGCTGAACTTTAAGGAGGAAAAGGCAAAAAGGTGACCCCAGGCATCAAGTCCTAAATGATGTTATGCCATTAATCAAGCTCCTGCTTATGACCCCAGTAAGGGCCTGGAAGTGACGAACAAGGCAAGATGGTCCTGAATAGAATGATAGGGGAAATACCAACGTTTTAGTCCACTGGGGCTCCTAGAACAAAATACCACAGACTGGATGGTTTATAAACAAGACTATTTTATTTCTCACAGTACTGGAAACCATAAAGTTCAAGATCAAGAGGCCAACAGATTAGGTGTTTGATGACAGAGCACTATCCTTACTTGGCCACAGGAGCTGGAGAGTCTCTGGCGTCTCCTTTATAAAGCAACCCATCTCATTCATGAGCTGATCACCTTCCAAAGATCCCATCTCCCCAAAGCCTTCCCTCCTGATCCTTGGGAGGATTTCAACCTGAGTTTTAGGGGTCCCAGCATTCAGACCACAGCAGGTCTTCCAAGGACCATTAGGCACATCAATGAATGTGGGATGGATAAACAGGATGCACATGCAACTCTGGCCCATTCACATCCACATCGTGAAGGAGGTCTATTCTAAAATCTTTAAAGGAGTGGTGAGACTTTAGATAACTGGGTTAGAAATTTTGAGGTCTGAAGGACAGAGATTAAGTAAAAGCAGTAACTCAAATATAATACAGTGAACAAAATGCATGTGTGCTCATCAGATATTAAAATTCTGAGGTCGCAAATTTAGTGACATGAAACTTCATTACAGGATTGGGTGAGCCTTGATGCTAAAAGGTCACTACTGGGATGAAGATGGAATGAGAGCCAGTGGGGGACAGTTCCTGACTCAGGGCGTTTCTGGGTAAAACTAACACAGTCTGATGGGAGTCTCCATGAGATTCATGGTGATGTGTTGTTGTCAGTAGCACAGGGTAGGGGGCCGGGCAGATGGCTCAGTAGAAGAAGTTCTTCCCTGGCAAGCGCAAGGGTCTGAGTTCAATCCCCAGTTCTGAAAAAAAAAAAAAAGCCGCACAGGAGAGCCACAGCCAGAAGCAATCAGTGTGTGGGTCCAAGACCTACTCCAATTTTCATTTTCTCCATCTCTAAAAAGCAACGATACCTACCTGATAGAGCCATTTCAAGCTGCAATGAAATATTCATTCAACAAGCATTTGACAAATGTTGTACTACTTACTAGACAGCAGGTTGTGTGCTTCATGGCAGTAATATGATGATAAACAGGAAAGTCTTGTCCTTGTGGAGCTTGGAGTCCAGCAGCAGGAGAGAGGCCGTGCATAATCACGGACCTGCTTACTGGGACAGAGGGAGCATGAACGCTCCAAAGGGGATCATGGAGGGCCCGTCACTCTGACTTCATTGCTACTATCAAAGCACTTTTTGTCTTTGATTACTACATGCTTGATCAGCACACGTTTGCAGCACATAGTGGATACATTTATTGTGAGGGAGTTTGTACAGGCACATGATACACCTTAATTCTTTTCTATCCCTTTCCCTCTCATCCCTCCCTGCTTTCTCCAACTCTTGTTCCCTTTTTTATTTGCAAAGGCTGTCTTTTCTTGCATTTTAGGGAAGGGCCTACAGGGTTTTCAGAGTTTATTAGATCATACTCGTAGTGATCCACCAAAGGCTATATTTCTACTTTTTCTTCAATTTTCCTTTTTTAAAAAATCCTTTTTCCCTTCCCCCTCTTCTCTCTCTCTCTCTCTCTCTCTCTCTCTCTCTCTCTCTCTCTCTCTCTCTCTCCCCTTGGCTCTTGGTCCCTTTCCCATTTGAAAAAGATCTCCCTACTTTCTCTCATCTGTCTTTTATTTTGCTCTTTATTTATACTGTGAAGCTTTTCCATAAGACAAACCATGTGATATTTGAATTTGTGGGTCTGATTTGTTGCACTTAATGTTATGATCTTGAAAAAAATTATGATCTTGAGATACAACCATTTGCCTGTGAACAACTTGAGTCTATCCTTTCTTGTGGCAGAATACTCCTCTGTCTACAAATACATTTTCCTTATAGATCTGTTGGTGGGCATATAGACTATTTGCGAGATTTAAATATCATGAATTGTGCTGTTATAAACATACGTGTACATGTATCACTGTAATATGGTGACTCTCACTCTTACAGGAAGATACTTAGACAAGGAATGACTGTGTCAAATGGGTTTTCTATTTTTTAGTGGTTGTTTGAGACAAGGTCTTGCTAAGCAGTTCCGCCTGGCTTTCAACTCAATATGTAGCTCAGGCTGGTCTCGAACCCTTCTCTCTCACTTCCATTGTGCTGGAATTACAGATGGCCCAATACTCTTTAGCTTTTTGAGGAATCTCCACACTGATTTCCAGGGTGGTTGAACTAGTTTGCATTCCTGCTAATGTAGAAGGCTCCCCCCCACACACACACACAGCCTTGCCGGCAATTTGTCATCATCTGATTTCTTGATAGCCATTCCTCCTGGAGTTAGGTGGAATCTCAGTGATGTTTCAATTTGCATTTCTCAACCTGGTAGCAATGCTGAACATTTTCTCCTGTATCTATTGGCTCCTTCTCTGCCTCTGACCCTCCTGCTCCCTCTACACAGGGTCTCTTCTGGTTACACTGCACTAATACCAGGTGAGGGCACCTACCTCACCTGCCTTAACACATATCTACAGTCTATCTTTGCACTGTGTATGAAAAGGGCTTGGGTAGTGCACATCTTTGAGTGGCCCTTACTTGCCCTACCACAGCCCTCCTGGGCTACACAAGAGGAAGTGGGTTGCCCTTAGACATGAGGAAGCAGAGGTGGGGTATCTTCTACCCATTTGCTGATAGTATTCTAGTAAATCTAGTCACAGGGGAGGGGGCAGGGCAGACATCTGAGGGCTGGCTGCAAATGCACCTCTCAAGAGTACCCTGTCACGTGAGAGAACCCTATTATGTTACAAAGAAAGTACCACCAAGGGTACCATGGGGGAAGGACATAGCTTCTCTAAGCCCGCAAATCCACCCAAGGGAATGGGGATAAACAGAACTACCAGGAAGGGCTGCAGGGAAGACTAATGAAGATGTCACCCACGAAATCACCTGAGACACTGCCTGATCTCAGTAAATGTTCATTCTGAAATGCTGCCTACATCCTGTAATCCCAGCTACTTGGTAGGCTGAGGCAGGAGAATTGTGAGTTCAAGGCCAGCCTGAACAATTTAGAAAGATCCTGTCTCAAAATAAGAAAGGGCTGTGGGTGTAGCTCAGTGGTAGAGCCCTTGCGTAACATGTGCTGGGCCCTGGGTTCAATTTTTAGCATCCTACACATAAAAAGTCAAGTCCATACAACCAGGCTATCCTGAAGATTAAGTCAAATGGAAAAGACTTAGCTCAGTATATGGCACAAGATTAAGGTCACAAGAAATAGTAGTGTTATTCTTTCCCCCAGAGGCCTGGCCTCCTTTCTTTTCCCTTCTCAACTTCTTTGACCTCCCTCACTCAAGCTCACCAGGTATTGCCCTTCTCTCAACCTTGAACTTGCCAGGCATTAAACAATTCCCAGGGTGTTGTCCTGTGTGATCCATTCTTGCAGCCCTGTTTCTAGTGACTGTCCAACACGGATTTCTCGTCTTTTTGGTCAAGGCTGCTTCGGTTTGCCCTCGCCTCCGTACTGGACACAAGGGCCTGGAGGAAAGGTGTGTCTTCAGTGTGGTCCTACTTTGGAAAGTACTTCCCCCCTTTCCCGGGCCACAGTTTCCTTATTTATAATAAGTCCTTTGAGCTGGAAGGCTAAAAGAGCACTTTCAGTTCTGGGATCCTACTAGGTAGCCAGATGTAAGTTACCTAGTTCACTTCTTTCATTTGCTAGGGGGCAAATGATGTCTGCCTGACCGGTGGGCAAGCCTCCCAGGAGGACATGCAGTCTTGCCTTCCCACCCTGTGAAAGGGCCCCCCGCGCCGCCCGGCTTCAGGGCTAGGGCGCCGGAAACACGTGTGTGCTCACCTACGTGTACACACGTGAGCACACCTACGGCAGCAGGGGGCGCTCGGGCCGGCAGGGGGCAGCACAGGCCCAGCCTGCAGTTACCCGGCGCAGCCCCGAGGGAGGAGGGCGTGCTGCAGTCCCGGCGGCGGCTGGAGGTGCAGCCTCCCAGGTGGGAGGCGGGGGCTGCGGGCGCAGGAAAAGGCGCCTTGGAAGCGGCGCTCGGCGGGGCCTCCTCCGGCCCGGCGCGGCGCGGCGAGGGAGAGCGAGCGAGCGGGCGAAGGCGCGGGGAGCACGCAGGCGCTCTGCTCCGCTGGCCCTCGGCCGGCGCGCG